ACTTATCATTCCCGCGGTGAGACTGTATCACAGTTTTTATGAATGTAAACCCATGTACAGTAGATTTCAAAAGTCTTGAAATCGACTCCTTTTTCAAAACCAACAGATGGTCCGTGCGGCCCGCAGTTAAGTTCTGACAGCTGTCAAACTTAACTGCCTGATCGATCAAAATACATATAAAAAACCACCATTTTATCACATCGAATAACCCCAATCTACTTTGCCTTTATAGTCGTTGTGGCTCGTTCGGTTGAGCGAGTGACTGGTGTGCTGTGGGACTTGCTGCTGATAATTTTGTTTGCTCGAGTTCAAGCCTTGCTTTTTCTAGTGTTGTAAACCGTTTTTGCACATATTTTTTATTATGGGTTGTCTGTCGTCATGAAACAAAACAAAGAAAATAGTGACTTTGGTCATGCATCAGATTTTTTTTGTTTCCATTTCATTGTTGACTGTCTTAGCAAAATCAAGACATGAACCAAAAAGAAGGGAGCAAGTCGAACACACAGCTTGAAGCAAAACATCATGCAGAAACTTGTTCTATTCCACTACGCCATCGTTAGATAACAACTTAAATGAGTTTGAGGTCTCTGATCTCAAAATTTTGATTTTGCAGTGTGTATTTTGATCAATCAGGCAGTTAAGTTTGACAGCTGTCAGAACTTAACTGCGGGCCGCACGGACCATCTGCTGGTTTTGAAAACGAGTCGATTTCAAGACTTTTGAAATCTACTGTACACTCCACTCCAAAAACTTTCACGTCGTGTGCCTCAAAGAGGCTCTCCGGGGTCCTCCTTGGAGTCCTTTGCCCAGACCTCGGTTAGGTCTTGACCCTGGTGTCGGTGTCGGGCTGACCTTGAAGGCATCAAAGCAGCTTTAGACCGATTGACCATCGATGTCGGTACACCACCGGAAGGTTCTATGCCCAAATTTAGTCTGCCTCCGCCTGCAAACGGTCAAGCCAGAAAACAGCCCGCAGACTGACATCAATCACCAGGAAGTCGTCCGCTTGCCGCCCCACTCAGAAAACTGGCATCCGTCCTGCAGGCCCACTTCAGCCCTTGGATCACCGCCCGCTTGGCCACCTTCAGACGTCTTGACATGTCCATCAGTTGGTGTTTGGAAATTAGCGTGGCACACACAGGCGGCAAGGGGTTTCTCCTGGTTTCTCAGTCTATGTGGTTGGTTCTTGAATAAATCTGACTCTGTTTACCCCTCGTGAGCTTTTTGCAACTGACTTCAATCATCTGCTTTTTCTGATTCTCATCAATCAACTTCTTTTCCAAAAACCAACCCAATTCTTCTTTGATCACCCGATTGCCATATTGTTGTCTTAGAGGTCTCCTTATCCAACAGGCTCATCACACATGGTAACAGAGTCTTACACCCAAATCAATCGATCACTTATTGACCAGAATCAATGCCGCTTCTCTAATTTGAGATCGTTCCAGATTCTACAAAGTTGTATATCGATTAGAAGCAGAGCCTTCAACTTCGAGAACGTCTTCGAGGAACTTGAAGGAAACTGCGACTTTGCGCGGCCGACCAACAAGCTTTTTCGAGATGCCATTGTTGAAAAACAAGGCAGTGCAGATATTGAGTAAGGTTGATTTACTCTTGGCCTGATTCAAGAATGAATCTCCTTCAGATGGTCGACAACAACCCAAGTTTCGCTCTCTCTTTTTGCTTTATCTTTTCTCACACTGGCACAGAAGTTGCCGCGCTATTCAAATTGATGCGCCTATCCTTCAACCCAAAGCTGTATCGCGATTGAACCACAGCTCACCTTGTGAACTGTGTTTTTCATTGTGCCCATCTCACAGATCTTACAATTGAAGAATTGTGCGCGTACATATGTACTTTGATTGTTTCCTTTTGTATCGTGCTTTTTATGTGCCTATCCCCAACAAAACTGTTAGCAAACTGTTCTTCACTGTGCTTTTTGTTCCCCACCCCTAATTGACAATAAAAGACTTTGTTTGATTCCCCTAATATATCCTGAGTTCTATGGTTTTTAACCAATGATTCTTGTGTCTGGGTGAGTTTTCAAAAGGTGCCTGTCCGTTGTAATTTCTTTACCACAGGCAATCCACTGGCTGGCGACTTTTTGTGGCCTCGTTTGCAGCCAAAGGGCGCCTCAGTCACGTGGTGGGCGCGGGGTTTGGATGTAGGGAGCGCTCGGCGCGCCTTTTCAAACCTTCGAGAGGCGCGCCTGTAGTGGGGGCGCCAAGGCGCGCCTTTTGAGGCTGCAAAATTGAAAAACGATCAAAAAAATTGATAAAACAGCCTTGAAAAGTGTTGAAAGGGAGAAGAAATGAGCATTTCTTGCAAATTCCTTGTGCATACTTCGATAAACAAGAGTGAGAAATATAAAATCAAACAAAGAGATCATTTTCATCCCATGATTCATTGTTGGATTCAGAATCCACCACCATTACATCTGTAAAGGCCTCATTGGAATTGGAATTATTGAAACAAGTGACGTCAAACAGTGATTTTGGACATAACACTGTAAACATCATTCAACTTCCCCAATTTGGCAGGGGAAAATGATTAATAGTACAGTTTTTCATAAAAGAATCTAATACTGCACACCTGGGCCATTTCACCCACACTACATATGTGCAGCAAGCTAAGTCAATAGTTGTCTATCATGTACATACAGGTCTGCTCAGTTTTTTGCCCATCAGAATAAATAAATCACATGTTATACCACATGTAACTTTTTCGACTTTGAAATTTTTTTCCCAAAAATTCACTACATATAATTCTGTAGCTGCTCAGGCAATATTGTTGAAGCTATGTCTTAGTAACAGAAAGTGTGTTACATGCAGTTGAGTTGATGAGATCACACCAAAACATTGAGTCAGTGTATGTAGTCAATCTTTTGGAAGCTTTTTTCAATCTGAAAGAAGTTGCAGCATGTATTACATATGAATAACTTGTCCTGATGAGCAGATAACTGAGCAGAACTGTATGTACATGATAACCACATATTCACTGAGCCTGCTACACATATGTAGTGTGGGTGTTATGGCTCAGGTGTGGAGTGATAGACCATTTTATGACAAATCATACTCCCAATCATTTTTCCCTGCCCACTTGGGGAACCCGAATAATGTCTGCAGTGTAAGGAAACCCGTCCATCTTTTCCCAAAGCTTGAAGTCGGTGAAATCCACTCGGATGATGTCTTGGTTGTGTCCTTTGGCATGATTGGAGGTGATGGGTGTGTGAAAAAGGGTCAGAAAGTCCAAGAACTGACAAAAAGTTCAAAGCTGGTTGTGGGGCGCGCCCACCCCATATTTCGACTTTTCGGGCGCGCCCCCGCGCCTGCGCCTGGGCGCGCCCAAAAGGCGCGCTTTTCGCGCCACGCCCACCACGTGACGCCTCAGGCGTTCCATTTGTGGGCGGTCTGCGTGAGGTCGACCTGAGGACGGCCCTTCACCGCAGACGGGAGGGCCGCCCTCCGCTGGGCTCCCTGGTCGGACCTGAGGCGGTCCAAACCGCCCGGTGGTGTAGACACCTACGAGCTATCGAAAGGCGACACGAATTAAGGAAAGGTGGTTTAGGAGTTGATCGCGAGTAGACAATTGCGCTTGGAAGTCCTCATTTGCAATTGCAATTGTGGGTCAAATCTATTCGAGGCGAAATACATAAGAAAACAATATCTTGAACGAGCAATTCGAAACAAGAGATTCGATGGCTTCAACTCTCAAATCGAATCCATTGTTATTCAAACTGCATCAACTGTTATTACCTCTTCTCGATTTTAAATCGACTCATACTGAAAGAATTAGTTGTGACATTTGGGCTGTGACTTTAGGACTGAGGTACGTTTTCCTCAAAACTTGAAACTTTTTGTCTTTTGTGTTCTATCAAGCTCAATTTTTCTGCGCATGTGTGGGAATTTCTAGGAGAGGTTGTTTGATAGATCATTGTCAATTTTCAGAAACTTCATCTCGTTTATTGAGTTCCAAATTAAAAGAAGTTAAGTCAATGATTTTAACATTTTTTAATCGCCTTTCTATAGGTTGTATACATACCCTGTTCTGATTGACTGCCTTTTTGTTTTATCTTATCTGTTTACGTATATGCATATAGGTTGGTGAACTTTTTTCAAATCTAACCATCATCTTTGAAATTCATTCTCAATCTACTTTCATTTGTTCAAGAAGTGTACTCCACTGTGATGCTCGATTGAACCTAAAGTTTATTACTCTAAGTTCCAATCAGATTAGGCTTGTGAGTTTCTGTTTATTTGACTTTCGATAATTTTTTAATTTTTTGACATTAAGTTGATTGACTCTTTCCGAGAATTTGGTTTTCTTCAAATTCCCGCAGCAAGAAGAACCACCTGAGGGGTTTTCAGACTCGATCAGTCACATTCAAAATCATTCGATAACCAATGCATTTCTGCTTCTGAATGGTTTTGGTTCAAATCCTGTAACAATCGCAGGATGGTTGATAGGGTACCCCTTTCTATATGTCACTCCAAAGCGGGCTGATTGGGTATGGCAAGACGCTCATTTGAAAGTGATCAACTTTACCTTGATGGGATCCCAATCAAAAGTAAGTTTCTTTATTTTGTTGGATACTCCACGAAAAACCGCTTCATTAATTTATATTTTTGTAGGAACTTGATCATCAATTGATGGCTTTTAGTATTCCAAGTGAAATTGAAGCTCAACTTGACTTTGAGGCTATCTTGATAACACTACAAGACAAAATCAATCAACAAATTCAATCAAATGGCTCAGATTTATCAATTTGGAATCATGTCACTTATTCAACAAAAAAAGTTGACATGGATCGAGTATCACTTTGAAATCATCTTTGTCAATGTTGTTTTGTTTAGCTTTCCAACATGGAAACTACCACAATATTGGAATGTAATGTCAATTTTGAAAATTATGCTTGAAGAAAGTTGATTCAAATTTTCTATCTTTTCTTATCTGGATGGATTGTAGCCAAACTGTTGGAGACAAATAAAGATAAGGTATGGAAATGTCAATCTGACTTGGACAGATAACATCTCAACCTAATAATCTGTTTCAGTGTTGTGTTTCCAGATAAACAAAAGATTTGTCCAGCTGTTTACAGATTTTTGTGCCAAGTTTGTTGTTTGTTATGAGTTTTGAGGGATGAATCAATCAAACAGGTGCCCAAAGGCACAACACCACCTGTCTAATTCCATGAACAGATGGGATGTGCTGGGGCTGTAGCCCGGACCTGCAAACTCAGGGCCAACCTCACAACCAGACCCGGACATAATGTGACCCAATGGCTTCCAAAAACAGCTTGGCTCACTCAGGGGTTGGTAGGGGCAATGGGTGATGATCAGCTGGCAGGCAAGTTGTATGTCAGCTGGCTTTCATTCAAACATTGTTTATTAATAGGCTTTTTTTAAAAGTGCTTTTGGCTTAATTGCATATACAGCCGTTTCAACAAAGATTGATTTTTTTGAAATTTTGCCAATGTGCAAAAGCCGGGTTTTGTCCCTCACTGGATTTTGTCTCTCTGCTAATTGGAAGAATACAGAAAATAATAAACCTGTAATCAAGTTTTGTCTTTGGTTTTAGCCGCTGTGGAGACAACTGTCTCCAAAAAAAAGTTGTCAACCTTTCTTGAAACGGCTGTAACACTAACATAGCATTTTGTTTGTATAAGAGACTAGTACACCTTAGAGAAAATAGGCTTGGTGACAAGAAATCCAATGCCAACCTGGTTGGGACCATAGGGACTTTTGTGGCATCGCCAGGCTAGGTCTTGTGGCCCTAGGCCCGGCCATGTGGACCATGAAAATGTGGTCAGGCAGACTGGTTTGGGTGCGGGCCACAGCTCTAATTCTATATGTCAATCCTTGAGAACTTGTAGACCCAGTACTTGTAGTATGTTGGTACTGGGGCCTACCACACAATATCTCCCCAACCATTTGGAAATGAGGAGCTCTAACATTCCTCATTCATTTCCAACTTCTTTCATCCCATCCTCATGCTCTTCCAGTCTTTAGTACTAGGTAAAATAGAATAGTTTTCTTTTCTCAATAATTATGAAACTTGAGGAGTGGCAAATCCTCTTAGAAGAGTGTAAATTGATGGAGATTTGATCAAGGTATTCCCCAACACAACCCACCAGTGTTAAGGTGGTTCACACCTGATAAGCACAAGTCAGCCTTGGCCAAGACAAGATTAAGAAAAATTTATTCAAAGAAAGAAAATTAGGTCGGATTCTAGGCCCATTCACTCATGAAAATGTGTTTAAGCATTTTGGTTTCTTCTGGTCCAATCCAATGGGAATTGTCACTAACAATGATGGATCTTTACACATTATCAATGACCTATTGTATCCTTGAGATAAGATAAAAGTAGGGAGCATGATAGGAACTCTGGCAAAGAAAAAGGTTTTGACAATGATGAAGAAGATATCATTTCAAAATACTCTGATAATAAATTGATACAGTGTTTACTCTACAAAAAAGATGTTGATGCTGTACCTTTGGTAAGTTCCTTTGTTGATAAGGACCTATTTCCAACTACTTGGTATGGTTTTTAGGTGGTGGCAATTTATTTTAAAGCACATCATACAGTCACTTTGAGGTTAGCTATAGTTGACTGGAAGAAGACATACAGGAAAGGGGCTAATCACCAATCTCAGTGGTGATTTCTGACAATAAAGGACTTTGTAGGTTTTATTTGGATCAACACTAGCATACTGTTTGGTGGAGTTGCAGGCTGTGGAACTTTTAGGTGGATGGATGACATGCGGAAAGAAACATGTAGTGATGTTGCTGTTGAAAGTAGAAATGGGTTTTTGTTGGATAGATGACAATATATTTTTCAGGAGGGAAGGTGATGGTCTATGAATGGATGATGTAATTGAAGTGGGCTATAAATTAGGAGTTCAATCCAATAATGAATATTTTGAAGATTGGGTGTGGGAAGAAAAGTACTTAGGGTTTGTGTGGAATGGGAAAGATCAGATTGTGAGACTTCCTGGAAAAAAATTGATGGAGAGAATCAAAGGATATAATTGTTACTCACTCCTCAGAGGAATTGTAGTAAGAAGGAGAAAGAGAAGATTACTGGTCAATGAAGTCGCATATACATATCACCTTTGATGAAGTGTTATATGTGGAGTTTATATTGGTTTGATAGAGGACAGTACATCCCAAGTGCCCTACATGAAATCTCAACAGTTGCTAAGAGTCCGTTCAGTTGCCTTCAACCTCGAAGGTGTAGACTTGCGAGGCGTCTACCTGCGGATCCGCAGGTAGACCATGTCAGCCACAAGGCGTCAAGTAGGGTAGAGTGCGTTTGGTACACGCGACTTGAAGTGATTTGACCTCAAAACTCATGGGTTTTCAATCCCCTTGTTTTTGCTGTGATCAATGCCTCCCTTGTGTTCAGTTGTTTCCCATCACCAACGACACATCTTTGTGTTGGCTTCTATTGGTGCGGCACACTTCTACATGAACCATATATATCAATTGCCTCCTATTCCACGCAACACCTCCATCCTCTCAGGCCAAGGATGGCTTGATGAGTTATTAGAGTCACAAAATCCTCGGCGTTTCTATGATCAACTTGGCATGAAGCCACACATCTTTCAAAAACTGGTGGGTGTGTTGGAAGACCGAGGTTTAATTGAAGACACTAGAAACATGACTACGGGCAAGCAAGTAGCAATATTTCTATTTACGATCATCACTGGAAACTTGGGTTAAAAGATTTAAGAGGGATTCCTGCACTGCAGACATTATTCGGGTTCCCCAAGTGGGCAGGGAAAAATGATTGGGAGTATGATTTGTCATAAAATGGTCTATCACTCCACACCTGAGCCATAACACCCACACTACATATGTGTAGCAGGCTCAGTGAATATGTGGTTATCATGTACATACAGTTCTGCTCAGTTATCTGCTCATCAGGACAAGTTATTCATATGTAATACATGCTGTAACTTCTTTCAGATTGAAAAAAGCTTCCAAAAGATTGACTACATACACTGACTCAATGTTTTGGTGTGATCTCATCAACTCAACTGCATGTAACACACTTTCTGTTACTAAGACATAGCTTCAACAATATTGCCTGAGCAGCTACAGAATTATATGTAGTGAATTTTTGGGAAAAAAATTTCAAAGTCGAAAAAGTTACATGTGGTATAACATGTGATTTATTTATTCTGATGGGCAAAAAACTGAGCAGACCTGTATGTACATGATAGACAACTATTGACTTAGCTTGCTGCACATATGTAGTGTGGGTGAAATGGCCCAGGTGTGCAGTATTAGATTCTTTTATGAAAAACTGTACTATTAATCATTTTCCTCTGCCAAATTGGGGAAGTTGAATGATGTTTACAGTGCTGTTGAGAGACACCTCAGTCTCTTGTACCTAGGTTTCAGCCGTGGTGAAAGGTGAATAAGACTCTAAGTATCAAATCACTTTACATACTAAAATACAGTAGTTTTATTCAAACTTAAGATATCAGACTTAAACTTAAATGATCCCTATTTAAATTGCGCCTCCCCCTTTTCGCGCTAATACTCTTTTCCTTTATCTGTCTTCTTACGGAAAGGAAAAGAGTAAGTTCAACCCCTTCACTACATTATCATCAATAGTCTCTACTCTCCATTAGTTTGATCTTCACTATGGCTGTTACTAATTATTGTACTGTGATGTTATCTTTTTCTTTTTCATCTGAATCATTGTCGACGCTAGATCTTACTGAACCTATCGTGTCGAACCTTTTCCTTATTTTATATTGTGACCTGAACAAACCTTATAAGTCAGATACTTAGTCAATTGGTCTATTCTTTCTATTCTCTTCATCTAACAAGTAGTTTCTTTTTGTACTTGTCTATTTCTATCTTTTGTTCTATATAGGTTAGTGTTTCAGGTATTGTGACGAGAAGTGATTGAGACTCACTTCTAGAAACTGTCACGGGAATTCAGGTGAAATATATCCGTCTTCTTACGGAAAGGAAAAGAATCTTACTGAGCTTATCGCGTCGACCCTTTTCCTTATTTTATATTGTGACCTGAACAAACCTTATAGGTTAGTTTTTCAGGTATTGTGACGAGAAGTGATTGAGACTCACTTCTAGAAACTGTCACGGGAATTCAGGTTAGTGTTTCAGGTATTGTGACAAGAAGTGATTGAGACTCACTTCTAGAAACTGTCACGGGAATTCAGGTATCTCGACAAAGGAGATTTGTCGCTTTTCAATTCCAAAGATCACCTGACACAGTTTCACAGTGTGTTCCTTGTTACTTCCTCACAGGCATCTCACTGAGTTATTATTCCCTCACAGTGTCTTTCACAAAGTACTTAATGCAATCAATGATCACAAAATTCTACCTGAGCTTAGTCAAACTGCCAGCTGTCCACACATTACTCCCTTTTCATCTCCAACAAGATAATCAATTCATGCCTTACTTCAAAAACTGCATAGGAGCAATTGATGGTACACATCTTCCTGTACATGTCTCTCCGGAGGATTGACCTCAATTCTGTGATCAAAAATCAAACATCAGTCAAAATGTTCTTGTTGCTTGCAACTTCAACATGATGTTTCAATATGTAATGTCGGGATATACTGGAACAATGCCTGACAGCTCAATGTGGGAAGATAGTTGTAGAAGATCCTTGGTCATACCTGAAGGGAGATTTTACCTTGGAGATGCCGGCTTCAGCCTCAGCCGCAGCTGCTTGGTCCCCTACAGAAGGGTTCAATACCATCTACAGGAATGGGCTTGCTTGGAAGATAAAGAGTCTGTTTTTTTTCTTCATTATGTGTGAATTGTATCTGATATTGCTTTACTTTCTTCTTTGAATTCAGGCCCGCTAACAAGAAAGAGCTTTCCAATCTACATCATTCAAGTGCTTGGATGGTTATTGAGCGGAACTTTGGAG